AGGGACAGTTGTGCAGCACATCTCAATCTTGGCTGGAGATTATTATCTTTCAAAGCTTGAATTATTTCCCCCCACGCTCTTCGTGATTTGATGGTTTGTGCAGAGAAATCTGCTGTAATTCTGATGGGTGTTCCCTTGTAAGTGGTCTGTTTCTTGTCTCTGACAGCTTTTAATATTCTGCTCTTGTATTGAATTTCTGGAATTTTTATTATTATATGCCTGGGTGTTGCTCTGTTAGGGTTGTAGGTAGCTGGGGTCCTGTATGCCTCATACATCTGAGTATCTTTACCTTTTGCTAAATTAGGAAAATTCTCCTGGATTATTTCTGTGAGTAGCTTTTGTAGTTCATTTGTTTGTGTCCCTACTTCTTCTTTTATGTTCTTAATCCTTAAGTTATAGATCCTCTTATCATCTTCTTGTCTTTGTATTATTGCTGTTTGTTTCTTTGTTATTTTTAAGAAGTTTTTCATTTCATTCTCCCATATTACAAGTCTGCCCTCCAGTTCAGATAGTCTGTCCTTAGTTTCTTTCAAGCTGTTATGCCAGTCTTCGATAGACTTCTTAGTTTCTTGGTAGTCCCTTTGAACCTGCTTCACGTATTCTATGCTTTCTCTGTTTTCTCCATCAAACAATTCTCCCCTCTTTTTCTGTTCTTCCATTCCACCATCTGTTTTTTCTTGGGTGGTGCTTAGCATTTCTCTAACTATTCTGCATACTTCTAGCTTCAGGTCGTTGATAACTTCATTCCTGAATTGGTCTATGAGGCTCTCTATATGGCGCTTTATTGGTGCGGTGTCCGCTATTGCCTGTTTCTCAGAATTGGGGCCCGAGCCTTTCTTGTTGCTGCCTCTTCCCATATTCTCTGTTCCTTATATATGCAAGCTTATATAGGAGACCCAGTTTCTCTCCCTGTCAGCCACAGCCTGATCGAATTGCACTGGTTAGGTGTTCCCGCCTAGCACAGCGCACCAGGGAGTTACGGACCAGGCAGCCTATGCGGGAGTCACCCCTCCCGGCCACCGTCAGGCTCTGGGATCTGGGTTGGGCCAGCCTACCGGGTCCGCCAGCAGCGTCACGCAGGCCAGGCACTTTTCACCAATCCCGCCTGAGAGGGGGATGTGTGGCTGGAGTCTGCCACCACGCCCTGCTCCCGCAGGACTGCCTGGGTCCAGAAAGTCCTCTGCTGGAGTCAAACTGTGGTAGAGTGTCAGTTTTTCTCACTCACCTCACCACAAGTCAGTGCACGCCTCCCAGCCCGTCCAGTTTTCGACTCCGTCCGCAGACTCCCGTTCTCAGAGCTTCCGCGCGTCTCTCTCCTTGCCGAGCCGAGCCGCTGTAGAGGCAGTCGCTGCGCAGCAGGAAACCCAAATCGTGGCTTCCAATGGCGCGGGGTCCAGCCTCCACACCGAGGCTTTTCTGTTCCTGTTTTAGCACCAGGACTGCATTCCAAGTTGGTTTCTCTCAGCCCAGTTCGTTCCTGAGTCAGCAGAGCATATCTCCACCTGCTTATGACTCCTTAGTCCGCACCATTCCTGAATTATGAGCCGAGTCTTTCAGAGAGCCTCCGTAGCTGCTATTATCTGTCCGCCATGTTCTCCTGGAAGTCCGACATGTATTTTCTTTAGCATTTTGAAGACACCATTCCTATATCTGTTTGGTCCTCTTGATTCTGTTAAAAATTCATGTCCCCATCTGATACTTCTCCTTTGAAATGAACCTTTTCCTTGTTGCCTTTGGATGTTCTGTTGTCCGTGGCTTTTATCTGTTTTGCTCTGCTGGGCACAGATGTTTCTCTCCTGTTGGTGCTGTGTTGGGGTTCACGGCACTTTGTGAGGTAACCGCTGCTGCTGCTCCTCATTCCACATTTGGGACTTTCACAGCCTTCAACCCTTCACCACACTGCCCTCCTCTTCTTCCTCCTCCTCCTCCTCATACTGCTATTAGTATTCTTCAGCTGTGATTTATGAGCTATTAACTCTGTCCATTAAATTTTGTTGTTTTTATTTCTTCCAATTCTCTGTTGAAAAAAAAATTTTTTTTTTATCGGTACCGGGGATCGAACTCACGACCACCTCCTTGCAAGGCAGGTGCTTATGCCGCTGAGCTAAATCCCCAGCCCTCTGCTGAAACTTTTAATCTTGTGGTTTTTTTGTTCCTGAATGTATTAATCAGACTTATTTTTTAAAGTCTTTTTGAAGCCTAGGTTTTTTTCAGTGGTGGCAAACCTGTGACACGTGTGTTGTTTTTCTTTCAAGACAAAAAATACTGATGTATGAGTTGTGCTTTCTGAACTAAAACCTCAGTATCCTGCTTTATTTGCAGGGTGGCGCTCTGCAGTAGGTAAGTGGATTTGGTATTGCACTTGGGCACTCATTTCTAAAAGGTTCCCCATCACTGTTGTATTTTGTTTATTGTGTGTGTATGTGTGTGTGTTTTATTTCTTTAGGTTTTTAGTCAGACTGTTTTGTCTTTTTATTTACCTGGCGGCCTTTTATTAAGTGCCAGGCATTGCATAAAAATTTATGAAAATACTTTGGGGTGTGTTTTCTACCCAAAGATGATTTACATCTGGTTCAGGCATGAGGGTAAAGGCGTCACCAATCATTATTGAGTAGTTTAAAGTTAACTTCACTGTGTCGAACTAATTATCGCATTTTGGGTCCAACTCAGAATCCTGCTGATCTCACCATGCCTCTGCTTCTCACTGCCACCCCTGGTTTGGCCCTTTTCTTTGTTTTGTTTTGCTCTTGAAGCTGTTTTCAAGCTCTGTGAAGCTTTTCAGCCATCTTTTCTGGAATCCACAGATGCTTCCAGAAGAAAGACTTTAAAATAGGCTTCTTCAGACTTGTTTTGATACTTGCAAAAAAATAATATATATACACACACATATACATATATATCTTCTTTCTCTTAGAGTATCTTATAGGTTTGTGATTCTTCTATGTCTGCAAATATTCTTTTTGGCAGAAAATAGGATTATGATTTCAAAATCATTTAATCATTTTTTTCTAATACTTTGCATCTGTTAGTCCATTATTTTCTTACATTTGGTGTTGATAAGAAGTTTTACTCGAATCCCATCTTCATTCCTTTGTAGAAAATTTTTGCAGTTTGTTCTCTTTGATACTTAGAAGTTTTATCATACTGTGGCCAGGAATAGGTACTGTTGTTGCTTAATTTCTTCTTCAGAGTTTTCAAACCAAAATCTTTCTGAATTTTCTTTTTCTTCTTCTTTTCTTTTCTTTCTTCTTTTCTTCTTCTTCTGTTCTGCTTCTTCAGGGCTCCATTTTTGCTCTTAAGCTCATCCCCGCTTCCCTCCGTGTCTGAAGAGTTCCTTGCAGTATCTGCCCCAGGGGAGACCCCTCTTTAGTATCTGGAATAGTCTGCTGTTTGTAGTGATGTGAAGAAAGGACAGAAGGCAGCTTGTCTGATTGGCCCTCTTAAATCTCAGTAGCTCTTTTTGTGACTCTGTCTGCCAGAGTCACTCTCCTGAGTCAGCTTTCACCTGTGTGGACATGCCACTGGGTCACCTTGGCTCAGCAGCCACTGAGCCGATCGTAGTGCCAACCTCAGCGCCAAACTCTTGCCCAGCTTACCTGTATGTTAATTACTGCAGCTATGTCCAAGACACTACTATACCTTACTGGAATCAAACTGTATTTGAACTGTTTTTATGACCTGCTTTAGTTTCAGGGAAACTGACATGCAAAGCATAAAAAAGGTACAAATTCATTAGCTTACTGACACCTGAAATTGTATTATATTTGGCACTGATGAGAAGTTTCATGTGTCAGTTCACAGAGCCAGTAGGAGTAACAGTACCAAGGAGGGAGATCACTATAAAAATTTGAGCTCCAGAGGAGGACAGACCCAAAAGGAGCAGAGCAAGTAGGCCTGCATGAGCGCACGGTGTGAATATTATGCACTGCATGAAGTATTCACCCTGATGTCTCACTGCTTTGACAGTCGTATGTGCAGACCTTCTGTCCTGTGGGTGGTGAGGTCATGAGAAGTCAGGCCTGGGCTTGAGGCTCTGAGATGAAACCTATGAGAATCTCAGACATCCTGTGCCCTGGCCTCCTGTGAGCACTTCCTTGCAGGGCCTTGCCTGTGTGAGTGCAGAGGAGCGGGCATGGGCCTTGCCAGACCATCACACTCTGTCTTCCGGGATCCTCATCTGGAAATCCCTTCCAGCCCGCCCGCCCTCCTTACAGGCCGATAGTTTTTACTTACCCAGAAATCTCAGTATTTATAGAAGTAAATTCACAGAATTGCCTTAATTTTGACAAAATCAGTATCTAACCTCATTAAACTTTGTTGTAAGATGACCTCTTATTGCTAATTTTATAATTTGATGTGTAGGCTTTCCTTATTTTCAGAGGCTTACAGAACTTTGCTTTACATTTAATATCTAATAAGCAGCCTTATAATTAAGTGAATAAACATGTTTCTAGAGGTAAAATTTTGATACTGTAATCACAATATCATTTTTATCAAGTAAGACTTTTATCTTTTTTTTACCACTTCTATGTTTATCCCAACCATTAAATATCATCTGTAAACTCTAACTTATTTTTCCATTTAAAATTTTACATTAATTTTATTAAGTAAACTTTAAAAATACTTGAGTTTTAAACTTCTACATGAAACTGTTATTATCCTCTGTCACCCAACAGATTTTTAAAGAAAAACATTTTTAATTAATTTTTAGGACTAAAAATTAAACAATGAAACTTTCAAACCAGTTCATACTTCTCTTTACCACAAAATTCTATCCAAACATGAAAATAATTTAATCCTGATTCTATAAATTTTGAAGTAATTACTTGGGAAGTAATTACCCTGAAAAAAAGCAACAAAACAAAATAACACATACTTTGTACTTTTAAAATCTATTAGTAAAGAGTTTTTAGGAGTAAACATATTTGCACATAAACTACCAGAATATTAAAATCATTCCACATGCCTTAGTAGAAACTTAAAATTTAAAACTTTTTTACCTGGAAATCTAAACTAAGTAGACTTTGCTTGGTGTCATTTAAGTCTCCAGTTGAAAATGAAACAAAATCAGAGCTTTCTTTATAAACAAAGAACAGAAGGAAATGTTGAAAAAATGTTAGTTGACGTCTTAATAAAATCTGAAATAGCTGATTCCCTTGGGGACAAATGCCTTTCGGTTCTTTTTGTAGAAAATCAGCCAAGGAAAGTGGTTACCAAGGGAAATATTTTTTAAAAAATCACAGGAAAAGTAGAAAACATCAGCAGGGGCTGGGGGGAAGCATTTCCTTTGTAGGCTAAAAAGGCAGAGCTAGAAGCATAAAATGAGCTTAAGAAATCTGCAGTTTTCACAGCTGTTTACATAAAACATCTTAAAGTTCATACCAGCCCCACAACATGTGCAGTTATCAGACCGTGGGGATCATGTTGTTTAACTAGAAGTCACGTGTATCTGAAATGCTTTTCTAAAAACTGGGTTATTATTGTTTAAATCCTCCATCCGCTGCCTGCCTGCCCACCCCAGTCTCACATACAGTATTGAAAGAAATCAGAGAACAGTCACACGTTAATGCTATTGGAGATTATGTGACTTCTAACCACTAAGTAAGAAACAGGACCTATGCCAGGGAGCCGTAAGGCTCCTACTCACCTCTTATTCTGGCAGAGTAACTGTCTGCTTTGGACTCAGTTTCTTCATCTGTATGTGAGCAAGTTAGACCGGGACTCCAAGCCCAACCCTACTGCCTGGACACTTAAGCAAGTTACTTAATGCTTTTGACTAAACTTTATTCTTCTGTACAACTGAGACAATAATATCTGCCTTTCAACTTTTTGTGGAAATAAAATGAATATCATGAGGAAAGTGACCCCAGTGCCTGTGATAGACGAGGTGATTATCTGTGATCTGGGGGGGGGGGGTGTTTGTTTTGTTTTTTGTTTTGTTGGAGACAGGACCCTGCTCTGTAGTCCAGACTGCCTTTGAACTCACTATATAGCCCAGGCTGGCCTCCACCTTGCTGCAATCCTTCTGCCTCAGCCTCCCAAATTCTGGAACTGACAGGTGTGCACCCCCATGCCAGCAAAAATCTTAAATTCTTCAGGAGTTCAGATTATTTGACAGAGAAGAGCTAAGTTACCAAGGGCAGTTTTAAATGTAAAGGAAAGTTAAAAACTTATTATTTCTAATACTATGCAAGAGTGGGACAGGGAAGTGCAGTCTGTTCCCACAGTTAGAAAATTACAAAACTGAGCTGGCCTTGACATCCCCCATGCCAACAGCAGCTTATAAAGGAAGTGTAACTTAGCCAGACAGTGCATCTTATTATGTTTTGCTTGCTTTTGAGTTCTTACCTCAAGGATAGCTTGGCTCAATTTTAGACGATTGAGTCTTCCTACTCATCATAACCCAGACCTTCTTGTTAAGTGCTAGTAATTCCAGTTAGCTTGTGTAACATAAATTCTGCCTGGTAACATGGCAAGACACGTGTAGCCAACTATAAAATATCCTGTTATCGGCCTTCTGTGCTTCCTTCTGAAAACACTGTATAAGCAACTGTTTTACCCCAAGATGGGGCTGATGGTTTGGAACTGAGATTCCCAGGAGCCTGCTTGCATAATAAAGCTGTAGCCTTCCCAAGTTCCTTGCTGTTAAGTCTTTCATCTGGTCTGGTTTTATGTGTTGCAACATTTTCACAAAATCTTAAAATCACCTGCGTACACAAAATTAAGATGATAAGCTAAGTACATGGGGCACATTTCTAAAAATACAAAAAAGCACACTTTTTTAATGTAAAAGATCACTGCAAAATAAATAAGTAGTACTCACAGAAGACAGGAAATTTTGAGAAGTTCCTTGGAGGCTAAAGGTGGATGCAGGAAGCCACCACAGCCAAAAATATATGGGAAAGTACACTCTATGGGTCTTTCAGGTTTGCAAGTCACAGCGCTGGGAACAGTGAGCTTGGCTAGGAAACTGCTCAAGGGAAGAGGACCCTAGTCTTACTGAGGTCTCCCTGATTTGTCCTGAGCACTCAACATTTGCATGCAAATTAGAGCCTCAAGGCTGGTGAGCTGGAAGCTCCATGTTCATAATCCAAGCTAGCTACAAATACAACCCAGCTCCAACCACCAACTTGGAAAGCTCCAACTGGGGATTTAGCTGAGAGGTATAAGTGCCTGCCTGGCAAGCGCAAGGTTGAGTTCAATCCCCAGTTACTCCCGCCCTCCCCTTCTGGAAGGAAGGAAGGAAAGAAAGGAAAGAGAAAGCTCCACCTGTGGGTTTGCAGCTTTTAGTATTTTAATTTTGAATTCTTAGTCATGAGCAGATAGCTCTGAATGATCAAACATGTGGAAAGATTCTGACATTGTATACGGGACACCCCCCACCCGACCCTTCCACAATAACTTTGGAGATTAAAACTTTAACACACATGAGAAACTCAACAGTCATATTAGGAGATAAAGGTTAAGATCCCTCCTAAAAACTAATAGTGAAAACAGAAAAGATACAATGAAAGACCCAGATGAGGACATTCAGTTTATGTCTGGTCAGGAGTTCCAAAAAAAGAAAACCAAAAAGTGTGTAAATCAATAAAGAAACAATTTAAGAAAATGTCCAGGAATGAAATACAAGGACATATGGCATGGAAGGGCCTGGTGAGAGTTCAGCAGTCAGTGAGACAGGCACAGAAATGAATCATAGGCCCCGGATCACAGTAACTTCACCCTGTTCAACATCAACCCTAAAACAAAAAAGGGGATAAATTGCTTAAAATTTTTGAAAGGAATTTATTTTTCTCAATCAAAGAGTCGTGCCAAGCCATGTGTGGTGGTGCAGACCTGTAATCCCAGGACCCTGGGCGACAGAGACAAGAGTATGAATACTTTAACTCTACCCGGGCATCTTAGTAAGACCCTGTCTCAAAGTAAAAGACAAAAGCAGGTCTAGGGATATCTCAGTGTGAAAGCCCAGGGTTCAATCAAAAGTACCCCCACCCAGCACACACAAAGGCACCCCAGACAAAAAGTAAAAGGTGAGTAACTCAGCTCACAAATGGGCAAAGCCATTAAATCTGCAGTTCATAGACGAGGAAGTATCGGCGGTCATTATACAAAAGAAAGTACTCTCTCAGCGTCAGTAAAAGTCAACAAATGTGTGTTAAAACAGGTTATTTTTTTCACAGCCAGAGTGAAATGTTAAGGACAGAACTTAGGGCAGAGGATAGGCATCAGGATTTTTTAAAATTATCTTAATACATTCAACATACAGTCAGGCTTGTCAACTACTGCTAACAGTAGTGGCCTGGTATGAAATACATCCCTGCTTTTATTTTTGGAGGGGGAGGAGATGTTGATGGCATTGTGTATTGGCGGGGTGGGGTAAGGCAGGACAGTGAGCAGGAAGCTTGTATGCTTTGAGAACAGCTTAGCAAGGACTATACTATCCCTTACCACCTTTCACTTTTAGGCGTCCATTCTGGAAAATGGTTGTCTTGCTCTGAAGCGTGGCTCCAGGTGAACACTTTGAAGCATTGTAACCATGGGTTAATGCAGTCCTGTACCATAGAGAGCAAGGGGCTACCATGAAGCTATAGAGACTGAAGTATCTGTTAATACTGGCATGGATCTTGGCTATGAGAATAAAGAAGGTTTCAAGGCTACACATACGTTACACTTTGCCTTTTGATGTATATACTTTAGCTTCTTACTGGAGATCAAATTGGAAGAAATAAACAAAAGCTGTTAATAGTTATCATCTCTAGGTGATGGAATTATAGCAGCAATTTGTTCTGTAATTCTGCTTTTATAATGTTTTGAGCTTTATATAAACAGATGAAAGAACAACATTTAAAAAACAGAAGCACGCAGAAGAAGTAACTTTTCAAGTAACAGCATAAAATAGTAACACTGGCATACTGAGATCAACAAAGTTGCAGGAAACCAAATTTTCCAATTTATGGCCTGAAATGTGTCTGGTAGAGCATTTAACTACCATGTTCAGTGCAGGAGGTTCAATTCCCAGCACCACCACCACCACAAAAAGAAAAAAAAACAGTGTCTGAGATCATTGCTCTAAAAATGTGTGGTTTAATGTGTGCAGAAACTATTTTAACCACAGTGCTGGTACATGGAAAGTGCTGGTATGATATTTGCTCCTACCCCTGTTATTACTGCAGGAATAATCAAGTCCTGGGACTTGGTTCTAATAGTGCTCTGCAGAGCTTGCTGTTGGTCACCAGAAAGACACAAGCCCTGATGCAACAGGATGTCGAAGCTTCAAACTCTGGGGTGGTTCTTTTAGACGCCATGCGTGTCATCTGTTCAGTATTTTCACCCTGTAGTTTGAGATACCAATGAGTTGGCTGTTATTTGAGTGTTCAACTGCTTGTCATATAACCTTGTAGATATTCTGCAGGAAAAGCTGAATTTTGGACATTTTATATAAGGCCAATCTCATAAACAGGCTGTTTTAGGACTAACGCTTCCTTCCTCAAAAAGTTTTCTAAACTCATTCATACTGAAGTGTGACAACTGTTTGTTTCCTTGTTAAACCTGCCTTCCCACTGGAATATTTACATTTAAGAGGAGTCATAATGTAGAAGTATGCAGTGATTTATTCAGTCATGCTCCTACTGGTAGACATTTGTGTGGTTTGTCTGCTTCCCCCTATTTCAGATTGCTTTTCAAAAAGATCATACATATACTCCCATCAGAAATATACAAAATGTCCATTTTCTGGCCACTTTTTTAAAAGTGATTTTCACATTTTTAATAGGTGATCACACAGAGGGCACAAACTTTTTTAACTACCTAGTTAAAAATCTTTTTTCTTTTTATTTTATTTTTTTAAAATTTTTTTGTCTTTTTGAGACAGGATCTCTATGCAGTTCAGGCTGGCCTTGAGCTCACTTTGTAGCCCAGGCTGGTCTCAAACTCACAACGATCCTTCTGCTTCAGCATCCCAAGTGCTGGGCTTACAGGCGTGAGCCACCACACCCGGCTTAAAAATCTTAATTTTCTATACCTAGAACTGACAGACTGGGTGATTCTACCAAGCTTCACAATGAAGTAACTTAAAAAGCTAAAACACACTCAAAATCATCTTAAAATTTCATGAGGCAAAAAGATCATGGGAATCTGGTGATGCCTACAAATAGCCTTCTGTCTAAGAAATACGGAGCAGGAACACTGCTAGAGAT